AGAGACAGAGACAGAGACAGAGAGAGACAGAGAGAGAGAGAGACAGAGAGACAGAGACAGAGAGAAAAAGAGACAGAGAGTTGTACAGAAGAGAACACAAGAGATCTACAAAAGCATCTGCCTAGGCAAAGAGAATGGCAAATGAGACCTAATAGAAATTAAGATATTTTCCCATCAAAAGATCATATTAAGAAGGTGAAAGGGCAAGCCAGCAGAGGAGACAAACTATGTACAATAAATTCAGCCACATCTGCTGGAAATGTCCTAGGGACAGCCAGCCCACTAGAAAAACAGGCAAAAGATTTGAACAGGAACTTCTAAGCATACACACCTAATGAAGGAAGTCTGGGGAATGCGTTACCTTTTATTGATAGGCAAAATCAGTGCACAATAATTAATTACACGACTGAATGAAGAATCTGGGCAGTGCGTAACCAGCTGCTCTGCTGTTCCTGCTGGAAGTCCAGATCTCCTCTACTGCCACTGCCGAAGCTTACCCATTCCTCAGGCAGATGGGAACCTCACTAAGCCCTGCTTTCTCCAGTGGCTCGCTGCCAGCTCCTCCACCTCCCAAGAAGCCCAGGCATCTCTGCCTCCCCCACTTTATTCAAGTCACGTACCCAAATAAAGACTTCACCCTTTGGGCCAAGCTACTCCTTACAATTGGCTAGCAGACCATCAGAATTCCCATAACCTTTCCCCATTTTTGTCTAATTAGGAATGAACGTTCTAATCCTAACATAATAAAACTATATACAAAAAGAATTATTATCAAGTATTGTCCAGAAGAAAGAAAAAGTAATAACCTAAACAAAAATGAAACTACACATAACAAGAACAGTTATCAAGTAAGAAACACATTTTATATGTCTAGACCATAGGTTAAGTGGCAAATTTATAGAAATTATCCCAATAGTTGTATTTTTCTGAAGAATCTAAGTTTTGTACCTAACATGTCCTTGGCTCAAATTCAGGAGAACTGTAACTGTCTAGTCTTCAACCCTATCAAAGACCTGAGAAAGAAAATAATATTACTCAAGTAAGCAGGAAGAGCAAGCAAGTGACTTCCAAAAAATGTAAGAAATGATAGAAATAGCTGACTGACTAGATGGTCACCCAAAGTTCCTCTGCAAAGTTGGGGCATCCATCTTTGGCCTACAAGCCTAGAATCTCTGGCAGAGCTTTTTCAGAAGCAGGACTTTTGAAGGACTGTCATAACCTGTCTTGGCAAAGTTCAGCAATGCTTTTCTTTGTGTCCTGCTTGTCCAGATTGGACAGTGTATTTACTGTCAGCAGTCAAGGCATGGACAGTTTCTTGCCCTGAGACCAGCTTTTGCCACAGGAAATCAAACTCTGTGTAGACTATCTTTGGTACCCATCATCCTCTTTAGAAGTCTATTGGCACTGCCAGGAGCAGACACATCTCACGTCAAAAACAAATTCTAAGTTACTGAAACATTTAAATGCCATATTCTGTAGGTCTTTGAAGTGATTAAAGATTAAATATCCATTTGAAACATATCACTCACTGTATATATAGAAGATCTAACTAACATAACTATAAGTTTGATAATTATGGGTGACTAATAACTTGTATATCTTTATTATCTTCTATTGCTTTTAAGTACTAAAACTTCACAGTGTATAAATAAACAAGCTGTATAGGTAATACCTTAAGCAAAATTAGAAACAGATGTACAGTATAAGGACAATAATCTCCAATTTTGTAACAATATTCAAAAGTATCTTAGATGGAAGTAGAAACATATAACAGTATAACAAAATTAATCTAAGTGTG